CTGGAGCTGAAATTGTCACGAAGTAGGTATCGACACGACTATGCCATTGCATACCGATATGTGACTTCGGTGCATGCAATCATGAGAGAATGTGTCTAAAAAATGAATAGAAATTACTGATTTATTTTGTCTCTTGGCAGGCCTATGCACACAAGATTCTTACCGGTAGACGATCTCTCATGAGTACATTGCGTAAAAAGAATGGTCTTTCTGGGTCAACATCTCGGTCTGAAAGTGAATTTGATCCATTTGGTGCTGCACATGGCTGCAACAGTGTATCTGCTGGACTTGGTACAGTTGATTGCCAACCTTTTTTATCCATTTTATATAGCTCATTACATAACCCTGTTCACGTCCTGCCTTCACCATTTGAAACAACTCATTTTGTTTCCTCGCTTAGCAATATTGTCTTCTATTCTTAGAATCGTACTCGGAAATTGTGAAACGAAATTAATATGATCTCATCTAATCGTAGGCATGGCAGTAGCACGGGATATAAAAGGTAAGCGTGAAAGAATAGTCACAGTAATTAACAACGGGTCAACTATGGCGGGGCAAATATATGAAGCAATGAGTAATGTGGGATATTTGGACTCAAATATGATAGTGATCTTAAATGACAGTCGCCATTCTTTACACCCAAAACTTGATGAGGGCTCTAAGACATCTGTCAGTGCTTTGTCTAGCACCCTCAGCAGGCTGCAGTCCAGCAAATCCTTTCGCAAGTTTCGTGAAGCTGCTAAGGTATTTTGTGCTTTTTCCTTTTAAGTGACCTGACACTTGGAGGATGTTCTTCGTCGTAATGTTTGATGAGACGTTGGTTATTGTTCTTTTTTTTTTTAATCTGAAAAGTGCTTAGCTTCATACTTTTTTCTGTGATTAGGGTGTAACTAAAAGAATTGGTAAAGGAATGCATGAATTGGCTGCCAAGGTTGACCAATATGCTCGGGGTATGATGGGTCCCTCGGGATCAACCCTTTTCGAAGAACTTGGACTCTATTATATTGGCCCTGTGGATGGCCACAATATGGAGGATCTCATTTGTGTTTTACAAGAAGTCGCATCGCTCGATTCGATGGGTCCAGTTTTGGTTCATGTCATAACTGAAGAAAATTATGCAGTAGGTCATCAGAGGAGTGCAGAAAACCATCTGGAAGGTATCCTTTCCCAAACTCAACCTTTTCCTCTAGCATGTATTGGCGACTGAATTTTTATTTTACTTTCACCCTAAACCTCTAGCATGTAAGCTTCTTTTTTCAGAGCTTTTCTTGAAGAGCCTTAAGAAATGTTCATACTAATTGATGTAGAATTTTCGAATCTACCGTTTCATATTCCATCACTGGTTTATATGCGCTAGAGGATAAAGAGTTTCCCAAACCTTATTTGTAACCGCCTGAGCCCACTGCTAGTATATATTATCCTTTTTGGGTTTTCTCTTTTAGACTTTCCCTCTTGATTTTTCAAACGCGCCTACTAGGGAGAGGTTTCCATGCCCTTATAAAAATTGTTTCGTTCTCTTCCCTTACCAATGTGGAATCTCACAATTCACCTCTCTTCAGGGCCTAGTGTCTTCGCTGGGACTCGTTCCTTTCTCCAATCAATGTGGGACCCTCCAATCCACTCCCTTTCGGGGCACGACATCCTTGCTAGCACACCGCCTCGTGTCCACCCCCTTTTGGGGCTCAGCCTCCTCGCTGACACATCGCCCGGTGCCTAGCTCTGATACCATTTGTAAGAGCCCAAACCCACCAATAGCAGATATTGCCCGCTTTGGACTTTCCCTCAAGGTTTTTAAAACGCGTGTGTTAGAGAGAAGTTTCCACACCCTTATAAAAAAATGTTTCGTTCTCCTCACTAACCGATGTGGGATCTCACAATCCACCCCCCTTCGGGGCCCAGCATCCTCGCGGGGACTCGTTCCCTTCTCCAATCGATGTGGGACCCCCAATCCACCCCCTTTCAATGCCCTTGCTAGCACATTGCCTAGTGACCACCTCCTTTTGGGGCCTAGCCTCCTCGTTGACACATTGCCCGGTGTCTGGCTCTCATACCATTTATAAAAGCCCAAACCCACCGCTAGCAGATATTGTCCTCTTTGGGCTTTCCCTCAAGGTTTATAACGCGTATGTTAGGGAGAGGTTTCCACACTCTTATAAAGTATGTTTCGTTATTCTCCTCAATTGACGTGGGATCTCACATTATTGTTTCTATTTTTGTGAAATAAGAATGTTTCTATTTTCGTGAAATAAGAAAGCAAGTTCTATTCTGTTCAACTCATTCTGGTTTCTCCTTGTAACTCCAGGTTTATATAACATAGACCCATTGATGTACGGAATTGGTTCTCAAACATACAGTGATGTCTTTGTGGAGGCTCTAATCATGGAGGCGGAGAAGGACAAAAACATTGTGACAGTTCATGCTGGGATGCAGATGGAGCCTTCAATCCAACTATTCCGGGAAAGATTTCCTGATAAATTCTTTGATGTGGGCATGGCTGAGCAACATGCTGTTACATTTTCTGCTGGTTTGTCATGTGGTGGGTTGAAGCCCTTTTGTGTAATTCCTTCGGCTTTCTTACAGAGGGCATACGATCAGGTCTCTACACGCTCACTTTCTTCTTGCTCGTATCGTAAGCCCCTTCTTGCAATTAATCGTGCACTTACCACAGTGTTCAGGCATCTAACAATAGCAAGTTGATATGGTCTTCTAGGTGGTACACGATGTTGATCGGCAGAGAATTCCTGTGCGTTTTGTAATTACCAGCGCTGGATTGGTAGGATCCGATGGTCCTATGCAATGTGGTGCGTTCGATATAACATTCATGTCATGCTTGCCAAACATGATTGTCATGGCACCATCAGATGAGAATGAGCTAGTAAACATGGTGGCCACGGCAGCGCACATCGACGATCAACCTGTTTGCTTTCGCTATCCAAGAGGCTCCATCGTCACCGCTGACAACCTTGTTCTTGAAGGGGTTCCCATTGAAGTAAACACTTTGCTCTCTTTTTCATTTAATTAGTTTTATTGTGTTTTAAAATGTATAAATATCAAAATAGTGGATAGCGTACGTTTCTGAAATCTCGAGTTTCATGCAACCTGAGAAAATAAAATGAAAGAACTCCTTTTGTCCATTTGACACTAACTCAACGCAGATTGGAAAAGGGAGGATTCTTGCTGAGGGTAAGGATGTTGCTTTGCTTGGGTATGGGGCAATGGTTCAGAACTGCCTTAACGCACGAGCCCTTCTCTCAAAGTTCGGTGTCGAAGTTACCGTTGCTGATGCAAGGTTCTGCAAGCCACTCGACATAGCGCTTCTCCGACAACTTTGTGATAACCATGCATTTCTAATCACAGTCGAGGAAGGTTCGATTGGAGGCTTTGGATCTCATGTTGCACAATTCCTCTCTCTCGATGGACGACTGGATGGAAGAACCAAGGTGCGTTTTTAAAGGCATAGACTTGTATTTACTTTAAGCACAAACTTAGAACTCGATCAACCGAACCTAAGAGGGAACGGTTGGTTCTTCGATCTCACACGATTAGTTCTGGCTTGGACATATAACACTTGTACCTCGATCATCTGCAGTGGCGATCGATAGTTCTACCAGATAGTTACATAGAGCAGGCATCACCACAAGAACAGCTCTCCCTAGCTGGGTTAACCGGAAATCACATAGCTGCAACGGCATTAAGCCTGCTCGGTCGCCCCCGTGAAGCGCTACTAATGATGTGTTAGATCTTGTATCTCTTAGTCTCTGCTGCAGGTGAAGTATTCCAACACTTGAGGTTCACCTAAGGGAGATGTAAAACATCAGTATCCATTTTTTGTCTCAATTTGTTGTACATTCTTCTTCAGCTTGTGTATGTGCCATTTTTAATGGTTTTGCTTCCCCGTTTTTGTACACAGTTCTTACAACTCTATCCCTTCGCACAGAAAAAGAAAGCTCTACCATTCTTTATCCCATTCCCTCAGCTTTTTGCATCATTCAACTAGTTATGACATACGTCATCGAGGTCAGAGGTTCGAATCTTTCTAACCCCACCACGTTGAATTAAAAAAAAAAATTATATTTTTTCTCCACGACCTTATAAAAAGAATTTGATTTAATTTATTGATTTCTTAGAAATCAGGGTGCGCTTGGGAGTGTTTTTAAAAGCGTCGTTTAGTCGTTTAGGGCATGACACGACTAATGGAGAGTTTTCATAAGCTCTCATGACTTTGCGTTAGGCTTTCCAAAAGACTTCACACAATGAAGGGTGTATTATTTGATTATAAACTCCAAAAGACTTCACACAAGGAGAGTGTATTATTTGATTATAAACTCATGATCATTCCTTAAATTAACAAACATGGGACACTTTCATCCAATAGCTTTCATTTAATTGTTTTTAAGTGAATCAATTTAGAAAATCTAGTAATTTCCGACTCAAAATCACTAAAATACAAATATTCTTAATTAAAGAAGCAAATAATATTTTTTGTGGAATTATCCCTAAAAAAAAATAGAAAAAAATAGAAGAACACGATATTTATTCGATCTCAACACTCTAATTTAAGTTAATTTCTATATTTTTAAAAATTTAAACATTATGCAATAATAATCATATGGTCTAAAGTTCGAATTTAAGTGATATAATTTTAAAAATAAAGTTTTAAAAGTGAAATATAAATTGATTTTATTTTATAATAATGTATTTAGTTTAAAAATAGGGGAGAAGCTAAATTGATTTTATTCTTCTCCATTCTCCTCGGCCTCCTCGGCCGGAGCGATCAAATTCCACGCGCCGAGTAATTGGGTAGCAATATTGTAGGCCCTACAATTAGTAATCCAGGTGTGGGCCATTACAAAACCCCGAGCCAAACGCTCGCTGAGTTCTTCTTTACCGTACGGTCAGTACCTGACTCGCGCGGGAGAGGAGAGCGCCAAAAAACTAAACGAACGAACAGGATTACCGCCATCATTAATATTTCATTTTCCCATTTTTGAAACTCAAGAGGCAAAAAAAAGAGAGAGAGAACAACAGTGGCGGACCTCCCGGCTCTCACCGTGCCCATCTTCGCCGCTGATCTCCCGCCCGGTAGCTGCGGGGTTCTGCCTCCCGACGGACACTATTGATAGTGGCGGCGTTTGCCTTGTCTCTGACATATTACCGGTTCTGAAGGTGATTTTTCGTTTTTGTTGGATTATTCAAACCGCCTTAGGTTATTACGCTTCTTGTTGATCTGCATAGTAATGACGATGACAATGACAATGACAATGCCGCATTGTTCTGTTGAGGAGATGATGATCGTTTGGAGTTTTGGTTAGCGTTGTTGGATTTTTAACGAACGTGTAAATTTAAATCCATGGAGGAGTGAAGAAAATGTGATCATGTTCTTTAGCTTTTTGAAAAGGTTAATTAATCGCTGACAGTTAGTTGTGTGGGAAGTGTTTTCTGGCCCTATCGATTTAAAATTATTTGATTGTTTTAATTAGTCAAATCCTTGTATTGAGAATTATGCTTCTTTGCTCTCTGTTGTTGCTAATGAATTTCCAACCACAAAACATGCACGCCAATATTCTGTCATTTAAAGAATGTGGCAAGTTTGAGAGGTTTTCCTTCTGTTTCTTTCTCCGTTGTCTCTTGAGAATCTCACGCGGTATTGGAAATCGCATAGCTTTTGTTTTATTCGATCTTCTCCGTCCTTTTGTCTTCTTGAAACTCGATCGTTGTTTATTGTAATGTGCTTTATGATTTATGAATGTTAGAACACTTGTAGTTGCATTGGCTAGGTGAATCTTAATTCTCGTATTTACTTTGATTGGCTCCAGTTATGGGGGCTCCGTTCGAGGGAATAGTAAAAGATTTCAAGGGGAGGGCAGCCTGCTATAAGCAGGACTGGATATGTGCACTATGTTCGGGCGTCAGGTTCCTTTTTCCCTCCCTTCAAAATGACAATTCAAGAACAAATTTTATACATGGCTTGAATATTTTACTATGTTCTAATTTGCCTTGATTTTTTTTTTTTTTTTTTTTTTTTTTTTTTTTTTTTTTTTTTTTTT